AGTCTGGGTCCTCATTTCACCCACCTCGGAAGGATGGAAGGCTGAGTCAACCTTGAGCTGGTGAGATTTGAACAACCGCTGAACTGCAGATAACAGTCAGCTGAAGTGGCCTGCAGTACTGCAGCCTAACCACTGCGCCACCTCGGCTCTCTTATGATTGTAGAAACATACACAATCCAAGAATGGAGACAGTCCATACTTCACCAACACACAATCCTTCTTGGCCCAAAGGGCACAAGATTCTTGGGACTCTACACTATAAGAGCAGCAAGTGGGAAAATCTTTTGCACAATTCCATTTGTCTCAATAATAGGCAGCCTTCCTCAGCATGTTATCTTCCACATGTACAGGATCAACTCTTAACAGTTCTCAGGAATAAGAATTATAGTCAGGAAAATGGCATGCTGTCTGAAGAATTATGAGAATTAAAATCCAATGCATCAGGAAAACAATAAACTGGGGAATGACAAAGCAGTGGCTTCATAAAACCACATGCATTATTAGGAACCTAATGGTTAAGATTGCTGCTTAACACTTAACACTTCCTGATGCACTGTTCTCTATGGCTGAAACAGGCAGGGGTTGAGGTCTGAGGTCTTACCTAGTGTGTATGGATTCATGCATCACAATGAGTCATAATCTGTTTAGTTTTGGTTGACTATATGTGTAAATCCAGTCACTTGTTTGCTTATCTAAACATGTCCACTGACTTTTTCAATAATCTTATTATTAAAAATCCACTACAACGTAGAGCTGGGATGACGAACCTATAGCACGTATGCGACAGGTGGCACGTGGAGGCATTTGTCAGGGCACACGAGGCATTGCCCTGTCAGCTGGCCAGTGCACATGCGCGCGCAGACCAGCTGACTTTAGCCTTTTTTCGAGGTCATTTTTCACCCTCCCCAGGCTCCAAAGGCTTTAGAGGAGCCTGGGGAGGGTGAAAACAGCCTCCTCCACCCGCCCGTAGGCCCTCCGGAGGTTTCAGGAGTTTCCCTGAAGCCTCTGGAGTGCAAAAAACTGTCCCTACGAGCAAACCAGAAGTTCAGGAACTGACTTCCGGTTTGCTCGTAGGGCCGGTTTAAGCCCTCCGGAGCCTTCAGTGACCTTCCAGAGGCTTCCTTGAAGGCTCCGGAGGACTATAAACGGCCCAACAGACAAACCAGTTTGCTTGTAGAGTCGTTTTTCGTCCTCCGGAGCCTTCAGGGAAGCCTCCAGAAGGCCCTTGAGGGCTCTGGAGGGCTTAAACCGGCCCTACAAGCAAACCGGAATTCCGCTCTCGAACTTTTTGTCCTCTGGAGACTTCAGGGAAGCTCCTAAAGCCTCCGGAGGGCCTCCGGGGAGGCGGGAGGAGGCTGTTTTCACCCTCCCCAGGCTCCTCTAAAAACTTTGGAACCTGTGGAGGGTGAAA